TTTCTTCAGTGTTTGTTTGGTTTCTCCAATGTAATGTTCCTTGCACTCACTTTCTTGGCAACGGATGGAATAAATCAGATTGCATTTTTGGGTGTTAGGAACCCGGTCTTTGGGGTGTACTAGTTTTTGTCTCAATGTGTTTATCGGTTTAAAATAAACAGGAATATCATGTTGTAGAAATATTCTTTGTATTTTCTCTGAGAGGCCGGCAATATAAGGTACACAGACACCCCTTCTCTTCTTTTCTCTCTGTTGGTTGGTTTCCTCTCTGTTTGTTTTAATTTTCCTAACTTTGCCAAAGGCCCATTTAGGGTAGCTACACCCTGACAATGCCTTCTCGATGTGTTTGACCTCACTCTCTCTCTCTGGAACTTTCCTGTACGACTGAGAGCCTCCACAAGTATCCAAAACTGTCAAAAAACATACAACTAAAATGACAATTTAAAAATAAACTCAATGTGTCAGAAAAATATGTATGAAACAAAAAACAGATATATTTCTCAAAACAACAAATAAGAATACAATCATGAAGAGTGAATCTCCTTTGCTAACCAAAACGGCAGCAGCATCGACAGTCTCTCCCATGGCATTGGACAAGCTGCAAGTGCGCGCATGTGTGTGTTCACACGCGTGTATCATTGGTGTCCAAACAGCTGACTTGAACAACACCAGATCTCTCAAGTCTTCCCTGCTCTGCTCTCAGCAACAAGGCTATTTTTTTTCCCTCCCTTCACTTGTTGCCTGGCAACCGCGCCGGCACACGTGACCTAGCCTGCATGTGATTGGTCGTGACCGACATGTCGTGTCAGAGGCAGAGACACACATGCGTGTGTGTGTGTGTGTGTGTGTGTGTGTGTGTGTGTGCGCGCGTGTGTGTGTGGGTGTGTGTGTTGCACATAGTCACTTCTAAAACCAAGCATCATCAAGCATGACACTGTGTTTTTTTTTTGTGGTTTTTTTTTAGTTACTTAACTGCAGATGTGAAAGACACACGAGAGGCAGGCTTCAAGTTGCCTTTTTGGAAGAAAAAAACAAACAGTAGTAATCGGACCCCAAATCGCATGTTAAGCTTCATTATGTAACAATGCGGCAACAGCAAATTGAAAGCCGGAAGATGCAACATTTAACCCGACAAGAGACAGATTGTAAAACACTCCAAGGACGTCTCCACAGTAGCAATCTGGGACTGCTCCAATATGATCTTTTCGGGAAAGGCGGGACATTCAGGACAACGACGCTAATCAAGCAACGCGGCACCTTGACAGATAAAAATGTCGTCAGCGGCATGCGCCTTTTTTAGAGAGTCCTGTTATGTCGACGATTGTCACGGATGGCGTTACGGCGTCGAGTGACAGTTGTCATTTTTGCAAAGTCAAATGAATGATTTTTTTGAACAGCAGCGTCCGTGCATACGGCCGCCGGCGCTGACATGTTCGATCCGTTTGTCGCTGCCGGTCTGGGCGCTTCTTGTTTTCATAATTTCCAAGCCTCAAACTCACTGCTGCTACGTGATTGGTCCGCCCCCCACCAATGGTTCCTCTTAGAGAACATCAGCAGGCTCAGGAGACACGATGGATTCTTCTTGGGGTTTGAGGAACTCCTAAATACCGTAATAATTCCGCTTGCGGGCAAAATTCTGCAATGTTACCCTGATGGTAAAAATAACTTAAACTTTAAAGCTGAATCTTACAAGTGTCAAAATAAACACACCAACAGAACTTTACGAAGCAACGTCACCCCCACTGCATAAATTAAGCTAACGTCTTAACGTCCAGCATTAAAACTTAATAATCTGAAGCTACCTAGCTACTAAAGCTACCTCTTGTGACAGTCTGACACCTAGTGTCAAAGTAAAGTGAGCAGAAGCATTAAAGTTACACAACGTCGTCATTTGTCAACTTCATCATAACACCTAACGGGGGCAATAAAGCTCCACTTTGTAAGAAGTGTCAAATGAGCACATCAGCATGAAAGTTACACGATGGAACGACTGAAATGTAAACGTGCATGTTAAAGTGACGCTGTGTAACAAGCATAAAATGCACAAACAGCACCATTAAAGCGACACGAAGCAACAAATGGAATCGGAAACGATAGCAGCAGCATTAAGCTGTCTATTCCCCAAACCGCAAATATTTTAAAATGACCCTAAGTAATGAACCATTAAAGCTACACTACCCCAAACTCTTTAGCAGAATTGATTGAAAGACCACGTCAAGACGAAAATGTTGAAACTTCAGCAGTTCCAAGTTGTTTTCACAGATGAAAAATAATATATTGGTTGCACGTGCGTGCTGTTTTGTGCAAAAGGAACAGTTGTTGATGGTTTCTGATGATCGCAAGAGTGATGCTAATTCCTGTTAGCCCTTAGCTACCGAGCCAACTAAGCTGCACGCTCAAGGAGGTCACAATGCACAAAGAGAAACTTGCCAAACATGGTAAATGCTGCAAAAAAAAAAAAATGTAACCCCCAGAAAATAGCTGGCGTGTTTTCGTGGTCCTACCTCGAGTGTTGGTCGCCATGTCCGCCACCTTTTGAAAAGCATCCAGGAAGGCCACCGCCGCCAAAACTGTAGTTCTACAAAAACACGTGAACATTTATAACATAGTAGGAGGGCTGCACTTCATCAAATTTTAATTGTGGTCACGATTTTGGCAGCCACAATTAAATTAACGATTAACAATTTTGACGCTCTAGTCAGTCAACCAGCGGGGTGCGACGCATATTTTAGTCTTCATTAAACTAGGCAAGACATTCAACAAGATCGTAGCCCAGTTATTTAGATTGCGTTTGCTGAGTTAGAGATTTTTGCCTGAATATTACATTAACTATCGATTATACGGAAAGAAATATTTCTACTTGTCAAGGCTGCTGATGCCAGTGACTGACTTTTTGGGCAAAAAAAATATGGACATCAAATTCGTCCTCCTCGCCAGTAGCTGGCGCAATGCAGCGGAGGTTTGACGCAGGTTGGAGGCGACATGAGGAGGAACCTTTGAAGGCGTCAAAGGACCTGACCTACAAATTTTCTTTCGAGATTTTGGAAACCACGTGTGGCCGGTCGTCGAAGCCGACGAAAATGCGGCCTGTGAATTTGGACACCGTCACGGTGTGCTGACTGACTGCAACAGAAAGCTTACCTGAGCTGTGAATGAAGCTTTGTGGCCTTTGCGCTGAAGTCCTCCCACACTGGATAGGAGCACTAGTGTAACACCCACCCACACACACACACACACACACACACACACACACACACACACACACACACACACACACACACACACACACACACACACAGTGAGAAACAGTGACATGTGAAATATCATGCATGACACAGTTGTATGTAAAAAAATTTATATAGAGTGAAAATGTGCTTCTTTTTCTGTTATTGTCTTCAAGACTCATTGTGGACACCCATGTAGCGCCGTCAAATCCCGTAATCCGTAACGGACTCTTTTTGACTACTTTCCTCATAAAGATATACACACACATACACACACACACACACACACACACACACACACACACACACACATTCACACGCACACACACACACGCACGCACGCACACGCACACAACGGCATCAAAGCACTGCTAATGAAATTCCGCCCCCCACCCTCTGCTGCTCTCTTCCCCCGAGCTGCATCCCCGATTACATTACACTTGACCCACGCTGACCTCTGAACTCCGATAAAACGCCTGCGAATTGACTGTGTATGCGTGTGCATGTGTATCAGTTGGTGCCATCAACGTGGTGAGACCCCCCCCCCCAATCCCCAACCCCAAAATAAGACAAGAGTACAACCAGGCAATGTGACCGAGTGTGATGCATGTGTACGTGTGCAAAAGCGTGTGGGGTGGGGGGGGGCTTCAAATAGTGATATCACTAACAGTAAAACACTTTGATCTGGCGCTTTTGATGTGGCATCATTTGGGTTGGAATCCGAGTTGTCCCTTGGTAGCAAAACACACGCAGCCGCGCGCACTCGCCTTCCGAGCCCCTCGCCTGCTTGTTTGAAGTACACCACAGAGACAAAGTCGTGTGGACGGGAGATAACGTGCAGCAACGCCCTCGTCTTGACACACACACACACACACACACACACACACACACACACACGCACGCACACGCACACA